CAATGAGGCAAGCAAATAGGGTGGAGGAGTTCAATGCACAATGCTAACGAGTTACCCACTCGTGTACACACAAACATGGCAACATTAGAACTAAAGACTAGAAGGGCTGTACCTATTCTTACCATTTTCCGTGATGGACCAAGTACAATAACTGTCTAAAAGGACGAAGGAATTATGTAGGCAATGGAGTAAGCATAAGTTCGGCTATCGAAAGAATTGCAAACTATCAATTCATCGAGGTACTCACCTGCCCTCTCAAGAGCATATTGGGAGGAGAGACTGAATAAATAGGGTCTAGGATAAGCTGAAGCAGCAGAAAGAAATGGGGAACATAAGTGTCACCACAAAGTGAGGCAAGAGGCAATGAGAGGTAAAATAGTCATTAGTAAGGTGCAGTGCAGTCTAGTCTGTGTCTAGTCTGACAAGTGAATAAGAGGGAAGCGGACACGCGACAAAAATGGATGGAAATCACCAAAATAACGCTGGCGAAGAATGATGCAGAAGGAGGAGGAGGAGATGAGAGAAGCAAATGTGGGTTCGGAGGATGTCAAGATGAGAAAACCAAACGGGCGGTGGGGGAGGAAGGAGTTCTGGCCTCACTGAAATGCAACTTAGGAAGGTAAGTGCATAAGAATGCATCTGGCTATCGAAATGTATTAATTGCAGTCGAGACATGATGCAGAATGAGGTGTGGTGATGCATAACGCGAGATGGAATGCAGTAGGAGAAAGTGAGATACTCACAGAAGTGACATTGAACTGGAATTTGCTTACGAAAGAGGAGACAGGGGGATTTCACCGCCTTTGCCTGTCCAAACATATCACTTAGCCCTACCAGTTTGCACTGTACTCTAATATCTGTGAGACAAAATGGGAACGACTCCTTTTACCTCAACATCTTTCTAGCCCTGTTTCAAGTAGCAGATGAATTAGCATTTGAATATTGGACATGGAAGGAGTGAATGAAGAGGAAGAAAGGACTGTTAAAGAAAGAGAAATTGGGGAATAACATGCCCAAATATAAGCTGATGCTAAGTTTTGATGCTGTGCACAGAGTGAGTTAAATTTGAACAGCTTTTATGATAAGGTACAGCGTTTTCATTTATGTACCTCTTCCATCTGTCTATCTGTTCAATCGTTCCTTTATCTACCTCTCTACTCACGCAACCGCTCTGGCCATGAATTACGAAAAGTGTTAGAGTAACTAAGCATCTGAATGAACATGAAGCTGGCGCGTCTGCTGTGGGCGAACGGACCTCTCTTGATATGTTCATTTCAAAACGCTGCTATTTGAGACAATGGTTGGGATGACGCGAGCAAATAATGAAGGGGAAAAATAGAAAGCAGAAAAGAATTACAAAGGAAACAAGGGAAGAGATGTCATGACTCACCCTTAATTTCTATGTATTTCATCTGTACCCTATGCTTTGGCCTTTCAATTTGCTTGGAGCGTAGAAGGGAAAGGTGATGAAGAAAAAAAAGTGCACAAACCGCTAGAATGAACCGAAGCAGGAGGGAGGCGCTGGGAGTAAACTGAATTATGGGAGAACAACAGCATGAAGGACTGCTATGAAGACCAGAAGAAGTTGTGCCTCAAACATGTCTTGCGCAATTGTGATCGAATTCTTCTCCGGTGACGCGTGTAGGAATCGATTGGAGGCACATGGCTCGTGTAGCCTGCCGCGTGGTACATGGTTGCAACGTGTCAATTGTCCCAACATTTCAGTTAGTTGGGATTTGACACCAAAATTTATTTGCTCTTGTGCCTGGCACCAGAGTGCATAGTGATGGACCAAGTACAATAACTGTCTAAAAGGACGAAGGAATTATGTAGGCAATGGAGTAAGCATAAGTTCGGCTATCGAAAGAATTGCAAACTATCAATTCATCGAGGTACTCACCTGCCCTCTCAAGAGCATATTGGGAGGAGAGACTGAATAAATAGGGTCTAGGATAAGCTGAAGCAGCAGAAAGAAATGGGGAACATAAGTGTCACCACAAAGTGAGGCAAGAGGCAATGAGAGGTAAAATAGTCATTAGTAAGGTGCAGTGCAGTCTAGTCTGTGTCTAGTCTGACAAGTGAATAAGAGGGAAGCGGACACGCGACAAAAATGGATGGAAATCACCAAAATAACGCTGGCGAAGAATGATGCAGAAGGAGGAGGAGGAGATGAGAGAAGCAAATGTGGGTTCGGAGGATGTCAAGATGAGAAAACCAAACGGGCGGTGGGGGAGGAAGGAGTTCTGGCCTCACTGAAATGCAACTTAGGAAGGTAAGTGCATAAGAATGCATCTGGCTATCGAAATGTATTAATTGCAGTCGAGACATGATGCAGAATGAGGTGTGGTGATGCATAACGCGAGATGGAATGCAGTAGGAGAAAGTGAGATACTCACAGAAGTGACATTGAACTGGAATTTGCTTACGAAAGAGGAGACAGGGGGATTTCACCGCCTTTGCCTGTCCAAACATATCACTTAGCCCTACCAGTTTGCACTGTACTCTAATATCTGTGAGACAAAATGGGAACGACTCCTTTTACCTCAACATCTTTCTAGCCCTGTTTCAAGTAGCAGATGAATTAGCATTTGAATATTGGACATGGAAGGAGTGAATGAAGAGGAAGAAAGGACTGTTAAAGAAAGAGAAATTGGGGAATAACATGCCCAAATATAAGCTGATGCTAAGTTTTGATGCTGTGCACAGAGTGAGTTAAATTTGAACAGCTTTTATGATAAGGTACAGCGTTTTCATTTATGTACCTCTTCCATCTGTCTATCTGTTCAATCGTTCCTTTATCTACCTCTCTACTCACGCAACCGCTCTGGCCATGAATTACGAAAAGTGTTAGAGTAACTAAGCATCTGAATGAACATGAAGCTGGCGCGTCTGCTGTGGGCGAACGGACCTCTCTTGATATGTTCATTTCAAAACGCTGCTATTTGAGACAATGGTTGGGATGACGCGAGCAAATAATGAAGGGGAAAAATAGAAAGCAGAAAAGAATTACAAAGGAAACAAGGGAAGAGATGTCATGACTCACCCTTAATTTCTATGTATTTCATCTGTACCCTATGCTTTGGCCTTTCAATTTGCTTGGAGCGTAGAAGGGAAAGGTGATGAAGAAAAAAAAGTGCACAAACCGCTAGAATGAACCGAAGCAGGAGGGAGGCGCTGGGAGTAAACTGAATTATGGGAGAACAACAGCATGAAGGACTGCTATGAAGACCAGAAGAAGTTGTGCCTCAAACATGTCTTGCGCAATTGTGATCGAATTCTTCTCCGGTGACGCGTGTAGGAATCGATTGGAGGCACATGGCTCGTGTAGCCTGCCGCGTGGTACATGGTTGCAACGTGTCAATTGTCCCAACATTTCAGTTAGTTGGGATTTGACACCAAAATTTATTTGCTCTTGTGCCTGGCACCAGAGTGCATA